TGTGTTTGTGCTCATTGCAAAGAAAGGTTATCCAACAGAATGTGGAAATTATCAACAATATCATTAATGTTACACGCAAGTAAAATTTTCCTGAAGATAATTAAAAAACGGTTACAGCTGTACATCGACAGAGAACTTCCAGAAATTCAAGCCAGATTCAGAAGAGGATGTGGAACGAGGGATATCATTGCTGATGTCACATGGATCTTGGCTGAAAGCAGAAATTATCAGAAAGATGTTTACCTTTGTTTTATTGACTCTGCAAAGGCATTTGACTATGTAGATCATAACACATTATGGATAACATTGCAAAGAATGGGAATTCCAGAACGCTTAATTGTGTTCTTGAGGAAACTGTGTGTAGACCAAGAGGCAGTTGTCGAACAGAACAAGGGGATGCTGCGTGGTTTAAAATCATAAAGGTGTGTGTCAGGGTTGTGCCCTTTCATCATACTTATTCAATCTATATGCTGAGCAAATAATCCAAGAAGCTGGACTATATGAAGAAGAATGCAGCATCAGGATTAGCGGAAGACTCATTAACAACCTGCGATATGCAGATGATACAACCTTGCTTGCTGAAAGTGAAGCGGGCTTAAAGCATTTACTGATGTCAAAGACCACAGCCTTCAGTATGGATTACACCTCACGTAAAGGAGACAAATCCTCACAACTGGACCAATAAGCAACATCATCATAAACAGAGAAAATATTGAAGTTGTCAAAGATTTCATTTTACTTGGATCCACAGTCAATATCCATGGAAGCAGCAGTCAAGAAATCAAGTGATGTAAAGCATTACTGAAGAAGAAGAACAAAGCAGGAGGCCTCACACTACCTGGTTTTAAAACCTATTATACTGCCGTGGTAGTCAGAACAGCCTAGTACTGGTACAACAACAGACACAGACCAATGGAACCGAATTGAGAACTCAGACATAAATCCATCCACCTATGAACAGCTAATATTTGACAAAGGCCCCAAGTCTGTTAAATGGGGGAAAAAACAGTCTCTTTAATAGATGGTGCATAACTGGATATCCATTTGTAAAAAAATGAAACAGGACCCATACCTCACACCATACACAAAAATGAACTCAAAATGGATCAAAGGCCAAAATATAAAATCTAAAACGATAAAAGATCATGAAAGAAAACATAGGGACAACTCTAGGGGCCCTAATACATGGCATAAATAGTATACATACCATAACTAACAATGCACAAACACTAGAAGAGAAACTAGATAACTGGGAGCTCCTAAAAATCAAACAGTCATCAAAAGACTTCACCAAAAGAGCAAAAAGAGAACCTACAGACTGGGAAAAAAATCTTGGCTATGACATAACCTATAAGGGTCTAACCTCTAAAATCTATAAGATACCGCAGCACCCCAAGAACAAAAAGACAAATAATCCAGTTAAAAAATGGGCTAAAGATATGAACAGACACTTCACCAAAGAAGAAATTCAGGCAGCTAACATATGAGGAAATGCTCCCAATCATTAATCATTAGAGAAATGCAAATCAAAACTACAGTGAGATACCATCTCACCCCAACAAGGCTGGCACTAATCCAAAAGACAAAAACTAACAAATTTGTTGGAGAGGTTGTGTAGAGATTGGAAATCTTATGGACTGCTGGTGGGAATGTAAAATGGTACAACCACTTTGGAAAACGATATGGCACTTCCTTAAAAAGCTAGAAATAGAAATACCATACGATTCAGCAATCCCACGCCTAGGGGTGTACCCAAGAGAAATAAGAGCCATCACGTGAATAGACATACGCACAGCCATGTTCATTGTGGCAGTATTCACAATAGCAAAAAGATGGACACAACCTAAAAGCCCGTCAACAAACGACTGAGTAAACAAATTATGGTGCATACACACAGTGAAATATTACACAACGATAAAGAACAATGATGAATCCGTGAAACATCTCACAACATGGATGAATCTGAGGGCATTATGCTGAGTGAAATAAGTCAGACACAAAAGGATAAATACCATATGAAACCATTATTATAAGAACTCAAGAAAAGGTTTAAACAGAAAAAAAACATTCTTCGATGGTTAGGAGGGTGGGGAGGGAGGAAGAGGGGAAATCACTAACTGGATAGTAGACAAGGATCAACTTCAGTGAAGGGAAGGACAACACACAATATAGGCGAAGTCAGCACAGCTGGACCAAAGCAAAAGCAAAGAAGTTTCCTGGATACATCCAAACCCTTTGAGGAACAGAGTGGCTGGTGCTGGAGCCTGGGGACCATAGTTTCAGGAGACATCTAGATCAACTGGCATAACATGGTTTATAAAGAAAATGTTCTACATTCCACTTTAGTGTCTGGGGTCTTAAAAGCTTTTGAGCAGCCATCTAAGATACATCAATTGGTCCCATCCCACTTGGAGCAAAGGAGAATGAAGAAAACCAAAGACACAAGGAAAATACTAGCCCAAAGAATTAAAACACCAAATGAACCAGAAACTCCACCAGCCTGAGGCCAGAAGAACTAGATGGTGCCCAGCTACCACCAGTGACCACCCTGACAGGGAACACAACATAGAGTCCTGGACAGAGCGGCAGAAAATTGTAGAACAGAACTCAAATTCACGTAAAAGGGCCAAACTTAATGGACTGGAGGAGCCCCCGAAACTATGGCCCCTGGATGCACTGTTAACTCAGAACTGAAACCATTCCCGAAGCTCACTCTACAGACAAAGATTTAAAAAAAAGCCATTGCCGTCAAGTCGATTCCAACTCATAGTGACCCTACAGGACAGATTTGAACTGCCAGCCTTTTAGTTAGTAGCCAGTCTCTTAACCACTGCACCATCAGGGCTCCAAGATTAGACAGGGCTATAAAACAAAAAATAATACTGTGATGGTTAAGATTGTGTGTCAACTTGGCTGGGCCATGATTCTCAGTGTTTTAATGTAATCACTCCCATGATTGAATATACTGTGAGTCCCATGATTGAATATACTGTGAGTAGCCAATCAGATGAAAGGGAGTCTCCTTGGGTGTGTGGCCCACATCTGTATATAAGCAGATGTTCTGACTATTTGCTCTCTCTGGATCCTGCGGCTGCTTCCTGTTGTCTCACCTCCCGTTCTTGAGACTTGAGCTATCAGTTTATCTGCTGAACCTGGGGTTTGTTGATCTGCACAGCCTGTGAGCTGGAGCTCTGCTCTCCAACCTGCCGATCTTGGGCTTGCCAGCTTCTGCAGCTGTGTGACTTGGGAGAGGCCTCTATCCTGATCCACGGACTTGGGACGTTCTAGTCTCTATAATCGCTTGAGCTGTTTCCTTGATACAATCTCTCTCTATATACATTTATACACTTTACTGGTTTTGCTTCTCTAGAGAACCCAGCAGACAAATACACATGAGGAATGTGCTTCTTAGTTCAGTCAGATATACAAGACCAAATGGGCAGCTCCTGCCCAAAAGCAGGATGAGAAGGCAGGAAGGGACAGGAACTGTTCAAATGGACACAGGGAATCTGGGGTGGAAAGGGGGAATGTGCTGTCACATTGTGGGGATTGCAACTAACGTCCCAAAACAGTACGTGTATAAATTTTTGAATGAGAAATTAACTTGAGCTATAAACTTTCACCTAAAGCACAATAAAAAAAGAAAGAAAGAAAGAAATCAAACAGTGTATTACTGCATTGGGCAAGTCTGCTACAAAGGACCTTTTAAAGTGTTGAAAGCAAAGATGTCACTTTGAGGACTAAAGTGCACCTGACCCAAGCCATGGTATTTCAGTTGCCTCGTATGCACACGAAAGCTGGACAATGAATAAAAAAAAACGAAGAGGAATTGATGCCTTTGAATTATGGCGTTGGCGATGAATATTGAATATACAGTGAACTGCCGGAAGAATGAACAAACCTGTCTTGGAAGAAGTACTGACCGAATGCTCCTTAGAAGGGAGAATGGCAAGACTGCATCTCACGTACTTGGGACATGTTATCAGGAGGGACCAGTCCCTGGAGAAGGACATCATGCTTATTAAAGTAGAGGGTCAGTGAAAAAAGAAATCCCTCAATGAGATGGAATTGACACAGTGGCTGCAACAGTGGGCTGAAACATAGCAACAATTGTGAGGGAAGGCGCAGGACCAGCACAATGTTTCGTTCTGCTGTACATAGGTTCACTGTGAGTCAGAATCAACTCAATGGCACCTAACAACAATAACAATTAGTATACAGTCTGCCTTTTAAAATGATAGTCAGGTTTGTGCAGTCTACAGTTATTCCAGCAAAACCAGTCTAAATTGGAAGTATGTGTTTAGGGAAAACTGGAGAAATGTATTTTAACTGCTCATTTTGTTCAGTTTTCAAAGGCATGAAGTTGCCTCATAAGTCATATTGTGTGATATTATATGAAAAGTTAGGCAGCTAAACATTGAAGAAGCTATTTCTGTGTACTGAGTTTCAGAATCTTTTGGATAAATACAATTGAAACTTAAATCAGTCTTAAAATATAAAAGTAATCAGCTTGTTTTACTTGTATGCTTTTAAAATATTAGCATTTTGGATACCCAAAGATTATGTATTACAAAATTCTTCCCTGTACTGAGTGATATATAATTTGTTTAAATCTTAGTCTGAGTTGAGATTTAAAGTTTATTTCAAACAAGACCATTTGAAATTATTTTCTTCCGATGGAAACTTTTTTAAATTGATAAGAATAGAAAGGTAAACTCACCAAATATAATATATAGTACATTGGTTAAAGAACTTTTCATCTAATAATTTAGTACTACAGTATATTGATATTATATAGGCACAAAGTACTTATAGTTAGTGAGTTGGTCAGTTTAATATATGGTCTCTACATAAATTGGGATTAACGGTTTTGGTTGAATTCAAAATATTTTGAAATTAATATTGAGAATTTATTTTAAATATATAGATAAATGTATATTAAAAAGTACAGTTACAGACAAAAGAATGGAAATAACTACTATACTTTATTTTTATTTTAGCTCCTGGAGCCTGTCTGCCACCAGCTCTTTGAACTCTATCGTAGCTCTGAAGTTCGACTGAAGAGGTTCACACTGCAGTTCTTGCCAGAATTGATATGGGTTTATTTACGGCTTACAGTTAGCCGAGACAGACAGAGTAATGGTTGTACTGAAGCACTTCTGTTAGGAATTTACAATTTGGTAAGTTGAAATGATATGAAATTTTAAGTGTTTTATAAAGTAGATTAAACTATTATAATCAATACTATTGTTAATATTTTATGGCTTATTTCTTCAAATTGTTTCAGTTGACCAATATTTATGAATGCCTTCTGTGTAAGGCATTGAGTTGGACACTAATAAATACAAAAAATTAGATGTGATATGTGTTTTTAGGAAACTTCTGCTCTATGGCGGAAGATATATTTATAGATGACTGATAAGCAAAGTTTTTATAAGAGGATTTCAGAGAGAAACTCAGATGCTTGCTGAAGTTATTATGACAGGCTTTATTGAGAAAATGGCATCTATGCTTGGCCTTAACAAGAGGTATAGGTTTGACAGGTTGAGATTAGGAGTAGTTGAGATTTCAGAAATAATCACATGAGCATAAGCACAGATGTAAGAAAGTCAAGTCATTTGCTGGAAATAGAAAATAATTCTTTTTGAAGCACAGAATATATATGCAAGCTGGGAAAGATAGTTTGGCATCAGTTTTAGAGGGTCTTAAACTCTAAAGAAGGAGCCCTGGTGGTGCAGTGGTTAAGTGCTCGGCTGCTAACTGAAAGGTCAACGGTTCAAACCTGTCAGCCACTCTGGGGGAGAAAGATGTGGTAGTTTGCTCCCATACAGATTACAGCCTTGGAAACCCTATGGGGCAGTTCTCCTTTGTCCTATAGGGTCGCTTGATGGCAATGGGTAAACTCTAATGTGAAGAGTTTAGGTTTTCTTTAATAAGCACTGGGAAGCCGTTCCAGGTTTTTGAACAGAAGAATGGCATTATTTATTAGGGAGATTAATTGGGTGATGGTATGCAGAGAGACCTTGGAATTATAAAGTGAATTTAATTACCATTCTTTATCTTTGGTAGGCTATATACATAACTGGGAATAGTGGGGATAGTGGACATGAGATTTCTGTTTCTTGAGGGAGGCATATTAGTTAAGGCTATTCTGTTACAGCCTGTTAGGATCTTTAAAAAGTGAGTAAGAGCACAATGGAAACTAGAGGGAGAAAAGAAACCAGTTAGCATTTCCTACATGCTAGAGGCCTTGCATGAAAGGAACTTGAAGACTGAGACTTGATTACTTCTGTAAGATGGATGGGTATGCTAGAAAGGGAACAACTTAAAGGTCTTGAGGACTGAAGGAATCACGTGAGAAAGTTGGGGAGAGTTAGGGAACATGGGAAACCTACATGGGACCCTTCTGAAGATACAGGTAGCAAGACTCCTTTTCTAGTGAATGCAAAGGAACAAAATAGCACATCGTTTTCCCACCTTCTTGTGCCTCTGTAAAAAATTGAACAATTACCTGAACTCATCAATGAAGAAACATAAATCTAATGAATGTATCTTGGAGTCACTGAATAGGGAAAGCAATGAGAAACCACTGGCATAAAACTTTTGTAATTTGATCATAAAAGTTTTATATAGCTATTTGTAAATTTATTTTCATATTCATTTGATAGTATATATTTGATAATACATTTATTTTTGGTATTTTTTTTCTTCTAACAAACTTTTAAGTGCTTTAAACATTATTCTGTTTTTTTCTCATGATGCCTAATTTGAAACATTGGTATTAAAGTTTGTGCCGCTTGAAGTCTTATATTCTGTGAATTCAGTATACATTGTAAGCACTCCACATAACAAAGTTTAGCTTTATAGTTGAGAGTTAATAAAGTAGAGGAAGATTGAGTCTCACAATAAATATGTATTCTTCTGCTCCAGTGCTTGCTTGTATTAAATGTTATCACTTAAGAACTCATTAGAAAACATTTCCAGCAATAGAACATATGTCTGAAAGAAGGAGCATGGACTTTGGAATCACTTGCATTCAATTCACAACCAGGCCCTGACACTTACTGTTTTAAATATGGGCAAGTTACTTAACATCTTGACTTCAGTTGTCTCATCTGTAAAACAGGAATAAAAGATTTTGAGTAAGGGTTAAAAACAATTTGAAGATCCTAGTATATTGCCTGAGGTGTTTAATAAATGTTTATTATTAACATTATCATACTAAATGTGGGTTCGTTTTTTTTTTTTTTAATGAAAAGCTGGTTTAGGTATAAAATGTCTTTTTTGCTAACGTGCTTGATTTTTTCTTTTAAAGCAGGAAATTTGTTATATACCTTACTAAGTCTCCCATAGTGCCTAGCACAGGTACTTAGTAAATACTTGTTGAATCAATAATTGAGTTTAGTGTTTTAGATTATGTTTAATATTATCACTTTTATTAATGTGTTTTGTTGTTGCTGTTGAATCAGTGTGTGTTTAGTGTAAAACTCAGTAATTGGACAAACGAAGCAAGATTATTTTGCAGAGTGGAATGTATGACAAGTTATTGACAATATTTGCTGGTTATGGTTTAATATCTTTTGACATCTCAAAAATAGTGTATCATAGTGGCATCTCAAAAACATATTAAAAAACACACAGTTATATGTCAGAAATGCAACCTCAGGCTTCTGAACTCCTTTTAATTCCCTTTATATCTGTGTTCACTCATCTCTGTGGCTCTCAGTTTTTCTTACCTTGTTGGGTATTTTCTGTATTCTCACTTCTTCCTTGCCTCAAATACCCCCAGGGAAGTTTTATATTGTCCTCAGCCTTAACAAATTTCAGAGCTCCCTTCTCCACAAATACACAAAAAGATAAACCAAAACTGTATGACTTAATTAGAAATTAAAATTTTATTGTCTAACTTGAATCAGGTTCATTCATATTAGTATATACCTTCTCTAAGGCACAGTGGCCCAGACGTGATAGCAACTGGAGTTTTACTACAAGAAAGTTGCGTGATCTCTTTCTAGGTAATTTGTAAAGCTGTTTTCCTACCAAAATTAGAGGCATGGCTATTGTTCACAAATAATTGGTACTTTCCTATGACATATTAAATTCAGAAATGAGCTCTATAAGGAAGGTCTTTGGGTTTGTGTTTTGGTGATGATAGTTGTTGTTTCTTCCTTTTGTGCTGTGTAGCCAGCCACTCCATCTGTCTTCTGACTACCTACTGTCTAGGTCTAGTAAGGGCAGTCTTCTCTCTATAGACTTTATGCCATGATGTACACTGATAATAAGTTGTAAAAGGAACATAGACTGAAACAAAGCACTGGAGAAAAGGAGTGATACAGCAGCATTTCTCCACTCTGTTTGCTGGTGCCTGTAGGTAGTTAGTGATGCCTGCGGAAGATTGGAGATGCTCAAGAGTGGAGAGTGAAAGTGCTTTTAAAAATCATGAGAATTTTCTTGCAGCTCACTAAAAAATACCTAAATATGAATTTGTTTTTAATCACTTGGACTAATATTAAATTATGTAAATATGTAGCTTAGTTTGGGTTGTTTATTGCTGCATGATTGTAAGAACTTCTTTTAGTCGAGATTCATTCTGTGTTAGTACAATTTGTTTTTCTTATTTTAGTAAGTGTGGATCTCTTGGCTAAGACCTTTCATTTTATCTTGTTTAGCTCAGCCGTATTTCTACTACAAGATCTAATCACTTGTAATCTTGCTTTCCTGTTGTGTAAATTTAACATGAAAATTGATTTGTGTGCCTTCTTCATGTCTTTGCTGCCATATTGTATTTGATTTAGTATAGTATTGTGCTCATTATCTATGAATTACAACTCTACTAGTAGATTGTACAAAGTTGCTAATAATTTAGAAAAGATATACTGGGGTAGTAATATTTTTTATACAATGAAACCTATAAGAGCTAGGACTCAACGGGACTGCCTCTTTTTCCAAGTCTCACAAGTTTTCCACCTTTGACAGGGTGCAGTCTTACCACTTTTTTATTGCTCTCTGTTAGTGGAAGATATTTAAGTTTTCCTTCTCTGACAGGTTTCTGCTTTACACAGGTTCCAGCTTTTACAGGTTTTATTGTGTATTACTATTTCTTGAAAGGAAATAAAAACTTCCTCATTGTTAGTGATATAGTCTGTAAATTGAGAAAGTAGTCATTATTTCATGTAATAAAGGCCTATGATTATTTCATTATCTTCATATATTTTTTAAACTACAGGAAATTGCTGATAAAGATGGAAACAATAAAGTTCTATCTTTCACTATCCCTTCCTTATCTAAGCCTTCAATATACCATGAGGTAAGTAAGATTGGAAAGGTGAAATAATTTAAAATTATATTAAGAGATGAAAAGTCAGTTTCTTACTAGAGATAAATATTCCTAATACATCTTTACTGATTTGCTTCTAAAAGTAGATGTTTGTTGTTAGTAATGTATAGCTGAGCTACCAAGAGAGGCAGAAAGTCATTCTACTGTGGTGAGTGGCATCTGGGGTCTTAGAAGCTAGCTAGCAGCCATCTAAGATGCATCAATTGGTCCCAACTTATCTGGAGTAAAGGTGAATGAAGAACACCAAAGTCACAAGGAAAGTGTTAGCCCTAGAGAGAGAAAGGGCCACATAAACTAGAGGCTTCATTAGCCTGAGACCAGAAGAACTAGATGGTGCCCGGCTACCACTAATGACCACCCTGACCAGGAACACAACAGAGAGTCCCTGGCGGAACAGGAGAAAAGTGGGGTGCAGAAATCAAATTCTAGTAAAAAGACCAGACTTAATGGTTTGCCTGAGACTGGAGGATCCCTGGAAGGCATGACCCCCGGACTCTCTGTCAACCCAGAACTAAAACCATTCCCGAGGCCAACTCTTCAGACAAAGATTAGACTGGACTATGGGACATAAAATGATACTCGTGAAGAGTGTGCTTCTTAGCTCAAGTAGATACATGAGACTAAATGGGCAGCTCCTGTCCAGAGGTGAGATGAGAAGGCAGAGAGAGTCAGGAGCTGGTTGAAGGGTCACGGGAAGTCAGAGATGGAAAGGAGGAGTGTGCTGTCACAGTATAGGGAGAGCAATTAGGGTCATATAACAATGTACACATAAATTTTTGTATGAGAGACTGACTTGAATTGTAAACTTTCACTTAAAGTACAATAAAAAAGAGAGAGGTGGAAAGTAATTAATGGAAAAGTTGTCCTCTGGTTCTTGTTTATTTCTTTTTTATTCTTCTACCTGCATCATTTTTGCTCTTTGTTTATTAATGTTTTGTGGGTTTTTGAAAAATATTTTTTATTGTAAAGTCTAACATATTGCTTTGTTGCTGTTGTTGTGTGCCATGGAGTCGATTCTGACTCATAGTGACGCTATATGACGGGGTAGAACTGCCCTGTAGAGTTTCCTAGGCTATAATCTTTGCGGGAGCAGATTGACATGTCTTTACTCCTGTAGATTGGCTGGTGGGTTCAAACTACATTCCTTTCGGGTAGCAGCTGAGTGCTTAATGATTGTGCCACTGGGACTCCTTACGTATTGCTTAGAAATCACCTATGTTAGATTCATTTGTTTTTATTACTCTTTAGGAAATTAACTACTTATAAGAATTTTAACACTGTAATTGTTATATTTCAGTTTAAAATGGGCTGCTTATTCTAGTTGCTCAGTAACATTTCACTTTTGATTTTTGCTTATTTTATTTGATTGAAGAGCATAAGAACACATAATCATAAAGGTAAATGACTTCATTAAACTGAACTCCTTATACCTGCTCTCGTTAAATAAAATCCAATAAGAAAAAATGAATCAAGCTTCTGGTCTCTATTGGCTTTTAGTGCATAAAGTTGTGAGGAAAATATTTAAAGAAACTTTGCCAGTTATATAAAAATTATATTCTGTGTTCCTAATTTGTATCATCTTGCTTTTGTCAAAGCTCTGTGCAGCTATTTATTGCCTTAATTAATTCCCCCCAGAACTTTTTTTTGTATTGCAAATAGAATGGCTGATATTTAGCCAGGACTCATTTTAGCATAGAATATGTCCGAGTAATAGATTTTAGTTAAGTTCCCTGTATATTATGAAAAATGGAAGGTAGTGAAGCATTAATGGATACTTCTTTTAACTTTAAAAACATGAAATCAGTTATGTCACTATTAAAGAGGCATTTGAACATAGTCTAGATTAAGCAGTTTTACTCTGTATTCTGGAATACAAACAAATTAAAACTGATGTATTTTTAACCTTTAGTCTTTCTAGCAACTTTTCTTGTTCTCTTTCTTAAGTATAGATTCATTCTATAATCTTTCAAAAATAAAGCAATATATTTCTAGTTTTATATAATTTGTGTATATAATTTCCAAAAGGAGTTGTAGAATTTATATAATTGAGAAGTTGAAAAGGTTTTGAAAGAGAAGAAGTGGTCTGAAACTGCTTTTTGTTGGAACATAGAGTTTTGTACAAAATTAAATATCATTACATAAATAGGTTTTTACTTTCATTTTAGAGACACAGTCTCATACTTTGCTTTATTTTTGTAGCCGTCGACAATCGGATCCATGGCTTTGACAGAAGGGGCATTGTGTCAGCATGATCTCATCAAGGTTGTTTATAGTGATCTTCATCCTCAGAGGGAAACATTCACTGCACAAAACCGGTAATGATCAAAACTGTACATGGTAATGATTATTTGTCTATGCTTAGTAGTTAAGAATAATTAACTTCAGTTGAATTTTGGTATGAGAGGAGGCAAAAAGTTAAATACATCATACTAGGGAAATACATCATATTATTGAAAGACCCATCTGTCTAATGCTTGGTATTATGTAATGGTCGTTTTGTATCAAGCAATACAAAAAGTAAAAGTATCAGCTTGGAGTCAGCCAAACCAGAGTTCATGGTCTAGCACTGCAGTTTAGAAGCTTGTCCTCTCAGGTGCCATGTTTTCTCTGTGGAATGTGATTAATGGCAGGACCTGTCCTACATGATTGTTGTGAGGAATAAATGAGGTGGTGCCTGAAACATGCTTAGCACAGTGCCTGGCTAACACATAATAAATGTTAGCTGATACTATTATTATTTATATGCTATTTTATGTTCCTAGTAAACTTGTATTCTTATCTTGTTGGTTATATAATATTAAAAAAAAAGAAATGTTGCCGTCGAGTCAGTTCTGGCTCATAGCAACCCTATAGAGCAGAGTAGAGCTGCCGCATAGGATTTCCAGGGAGCAGCTGGTGGATTCGAACTGCCAGCCTTTTGGTTAGCAGCTGAATGCTTAACCACTGTGCCACCAGGGCTCCATGGAACGAACATAGAATCAAGCAGAATTCCATAGTTATTGTCTTTGATCTAGTGCGTCGATCTGAAATTGTGGTTCTTCTTTTGTTTCTTCCCAGTATTACACAGATAATAGAAAAATCACTGACTTCCCTTTTATCTTGAAACATTGTTTTAGAATTCTGCTTTGGTGATTGTCCTTTGTTAGCCAGCAGGATGCTGTGTTAAGACTTGGAGAGAGAAGGCTTTATCCCAACCTAAAGTATCAGCTTTATTTTTTTCTATATATTCCTGCAATATGAAATTTATGTTAGAATAAAAGTTTCATTAAGCACAAGTCTGTAGACTGGCTTACATAAAAATCATCTGGTTACCTTGTTTCTTTTTGTTTTCTAATATAAATTGTTTTAAAGTATGAATTATATACTTATAAATTTAAAATAGAACAGGGTATAAAGTGAAAATATACAAGATTATAACAGAAATAAACATGTCTTCTTCCCTCTAACCAGCCATTTCTATCCCCTAAAGTTAAACTGGTAGCAGTTTTTTATGTATCCTTCCAGAAAGTTTTAATGCATGCAAAAGCATACATTAAACCTTAAACACGTGAGATTCAGTGTACGTATTGTTCTGCCACCTGCTTTTTTCACTAAGAATAAGGCTTGGTCATCTTTTCTCTAACAGCACATAGGGATCTCATTCTTTTTAAGGACTACTTAGTATTCCATTGTATATATGTACCATCAGGTTTTTTTTGTTTTTTTTTTAATTCAGGTGAAGGTTTACAGAACAAATAGTTTCTCATTAAACAGTAGTACACATATTGTTTTATGACATTGGTTAACAACCCCACGACATGTCAATCCTCTCCCTTCTCAACTTGTTTTTTTTGGTGAAAATATGCATA